AAGCACTGGCTTTCTCTAGTTGCAGTAAGTGGGGGCTACTCTTCATTGCAGGGTGTGGGCTTCTCATTGTGGCGGCTTCTCTTCTTGCAGAGCTCAGGCTGTAGGTGCCTGGGCTTTGATAGTTGCAGCATATGAGCTCAGAAGTTGCAGCTCCCAGGTTCAAGAGCACAGGTTCAGCAGTTGTGGTGCACAGACTTAGTTGCTCCATGGCATATGCAGTCTTCCCAGACCAGGGATCGAACCTGTGTCTCCTGCATTGGCGGGCGAACCCAACCACTTGACCACCAGGGAAGCCCCTCTCCTTTTTATTTCTCCCTGGCAACAGTCCTCGATCCGAGGGCTCCCCCGGGGGGCCGATATGAACGTGTGTGTTTTAAATGGCAGCCCCTCTGGAGGATGCCAGCTCATGATAGGCACGGGCTTAACACTGGACTTCAACTCATACTTGTTCCCTCTTCCCCCCAGATCAGTCATAGTCAGATTGAGGCTCCCCTCCCTCTGCAGAGAAATCACGTACCCAAATCTGGCTAATCAAACAGCTGCCTCCTTCTGGCTACTGGAATTGATTGGGGGGAGGGAGGACATGACCTAACACCAGCCAAGAGCAACTCTGGGAGCTTTATTAAATTTTAACTGAGGTGAAATTTACCTAACCTAAAACTAATCAGAAACTATACTTAAGTGTACAATTCAAAAGCAACTAGAGCCTTACCAACATTGTGTAACCATCGCCTCTATCTAGTTTTCCAAGACATATTCTTCACCCCAAAAGGAAACCCTACACCAATGAGCACTCACTCCCCATTTCCTCCTCTCAGCCCCTGTGTGCATGTGTCCTAAGTCACTTCAGTCGTGTCCAACTCTTTGTGACCCCATAGACTGGAGCCTGTCAGGCTCTTCTGTCCATGGCATTCTCCAGGCAAGAATACTGGAGTGGGTTGCCATGCCTTCCTCTAGGGGATCTTCCCGACCCAGGGATTGAATCTGAGTCTCATGTCTCCTGCATTAGCAGGCAGGTTCTTTACCACGAGTGTCACCTGGGATGCCCCCTCTCAGCCCCTGGCAACCATTAATCTGATTGACTTTTTTCCCTTGTGGATTTATCTGTTCTAGACATTTCACAACATGAAATCATAGACTATGTGCCCATTGGTGTCTGACTTTTCACCGAGTGTAATATTTTCAAGTTTCATCCATATTGTATCACGTGTCAGTGCTTCATTCCTTTTTAAGGCAGAATGATATTCCATTGTATGGATATACCACTTTTGTTTATTCATTGATTAACATTTTGGTTATTTCCACCTTTTGGCTCTTATCAATAGTGCTGTAATGCTATTTACAATATCTAGAACATGGAAGCGACCCAGAGGTCCATCAACAGATGAATGGATAAAGTTGTGGTACATATATACAAGGGAGTATTACTCAGCCATAAAAAGGGATGAATTTTAGTCAGTTCTAGTGAGGTGAGTGAACCTAGAGCCTGTTATACAGTGTGAAGTAAGTCAAAAGGAGAAATACATACTGTATATTAATGCATGTATATTGGATCTAGCAAGATGGTACTGATGAACCCATTTGCAGGGCAAAATAGAGACACAGACATAGAGAACAGACGTGTGGACACAGTGGGGGAAGGAGAGGGTGGGACAAATTGAGAGAGTAGTGTGGAAACATATACATTACAATATGTAAACTAGCTAACTGGTGGCAAGCTTCTGCATAACACAGGGGCTAAACTTGATGCACTGTAACATTCTGGAGGAGTGAGATAGGGTTGGGGTGGGAGGGTTCAGAAGGGAGGGGACACATGCATACTTATGACTGATTCAAGTTGCTGTACGGCAGAAACCAATACAACATGGTAAAGGAATTATCTCCCAGCTAAATTCTTAAAAGAGAATAATATATATAAATAATATCTATAACTGAATTAATTGCTATATAGCAGAAATTGACAAAACATTATAAATCAACTATACTTGAATAAAATTAATTTTTTAAAAAGAAAAAATGGTGCTGCAGTTAACATTTCTGTACAAATATTTCTTTGAATACCTGTTTTCAGTTCTTTGGTCTATATGCCTAGCAGTGGAATTGCTGGATCACATGGTGACTCTGTTTAACTTGTTAAGGAACTGATAAACTCTTTCCCACTGCTGTGGTATGATTCTACATTCCTACAAGCAACCCACAAGGGTTCCAATTTCTCCATGTTCTCATCAGCACTTACCTCCTGGCCTAAAAAAAAAAAGTATGGCCAACTGAGTGGATGTGAAATGGTATTCATGTTTTTGATTTGCATTTTCCTACTAGACTAATGATATTGAGCATCTTTTCATGTGTTCTTGGAGCTTCAGTGTATACTTCTGATCTTGGAAGGCTATAAGCCTGGCGCTGCTTGCAGCCACTTCCCACCCATGAGGTACTCCAGGATAGAGAAGCTCAGCCATAGTGACATTATTTGAAGCCTGAAAGTGAAAGTGTTAGTCACTCAGGCATGTCCCACTCTTTGCGTCCCCATGGACTGTCACTGCCAGGCTCCTCTGTCCTTGGGATTCTCCAGGCAAGATTACTGGAGTGGGTTGCCATTCCCTTCTCTGGGGGAATCTTCCTGACCCCGGGATCAAACCTGGGTCTCCCTCATTGCAGGCAGATTCTTTACTGTCTGAGCCAACAGTAAAGCCTAGATCCAGCCATACCTGCAGTCTGTCTCTAACTTCAAAAGTATAAGTGCTGATTATCATTTTGTCATTCCAGCCAGCTAGAGCTGAACATTTTGTCCTTTGCCACCATTAGTCCTCCATGATGGAGACGGGGGCTTGCCAAGGCCCCACGGTGAGATAGAATTACAAACTGGATGATTCCCTGGTCCTCCTTCCTACCTACTCACTGCCTCCATGCCCCAAGAGGAGGCTATATGGAGTGGTCAGCAGGAGCCAGAATCTGGGGACAAATCATGGTCATGCATTTAGAGACAGAGACAAGGGGAGTAGGAAGTGGATGCTTTTCTATGACACCTGTGATTCCCTCTGCCCAGAATGGTCTTGCCCAGCTCTAGGTATGTCTGGCTCCCTCCTCACTGAGGGCTCAGCTGCAAAGTGCACTTCCCAACTGATCACACATATGAAAGGGCTGCTCCCCCTCCCCATGATCTTTGAGAACAGCACCCTGCTTTGTCTTTTTCGCAGCACCCATCTGTGACTGCAGTTGCCTCTTTTATATTTATCTGAAGTGTGCCTCCTCATTAGGGCAGGTACTTTGCATGTCTTTGTTGTCTTATATGAGGACTGGTGTCAAACATATAGTAGGAACTCAGTATATAGTTGTTGTACCTGAGGACTCCTGTCAAACATATAGTAGGAATTCAGAATACAGTTGTTGAAGAGATGAATGAATGACTGAAGGAAGGGAGGAATGAACAGGTGGGAGGAGGAATGAATAGATGAGTGGAAGGGTGATTGAATGAATTGGATGGACAAGTGAAAAGATGGCTGAATATGGATGGATGGATGGATGGATGAAGGATGGTTAACAGTTGACTACATGGATGGGTGGAAGAATAATGATTAATGAATGGTGAAAAGATGAATATATGGATGCATGAAGTGGATGAGTAGATGGATGGATGGATGGATGAAGGATGGTTAACAGCTGGATACAGGAATATATGTAAGAATAATGGACGATCGAAGGATGAGTAATAAATATATGGATGGATGGATGAATAGATGGATGCACAGATGGCTGAATGAATGAATGATACATTAATAAATAAACAGTAGATAAAAAGACAGATAACAAATAAAAGAGTAAAACAATGAATGAATGAACTATTGGATGAGTAAATTAAAGGACAGATAGATGGATGGTTCAATGGAGACTTCAAAAGAACGGATGGATGTATGAATGGACAGACAAATTAAAGATGGAGTAGATGGGTGGATGTTTGCCAGACCCCATTCTAAGCACTTTATGTATGTTTTCCTGTTTTATCTATGCATAAATCTAAGGAAGGAAGGAATGCTTTACAGACAATGTCCTTGAACTTCAGAGGTAGAGGGGGGAAAAAAATCACTTCCCTCAGAAAATACAAGTAGGAAGTGGTGGAGCAAGATTCAAATTTGCATCTGCCTGACTCCAAGCCCTGAGCTCTTAACCATCATGGAAACCACCCTCCTCCCTCTCCTCTCACTTTGAGAGCCTGTACCAGCCACCACAGGCCTCCCTGGTACCAACTGCTAAAGAATCTGCCTGCAATGCAGGAGACTTCAGTTCAATTCCTGGGTTGGGAAGATCCCCTGGAGAAGGGATAGGCTACCTGCTCCAGTATTCATGGGCTTCCCTGGTCGCTCAGATGGTAAAGAATCCACCGGCAATGTGGGAGACCTGGGTTCAGTCCCTGGGTTGGGAAGATCCCCTGGAGGAGGGCATGGCAACCCACTCCAGTATCTTTACCTGGAGATTCCCATGGACAGAGGGGCCTGGTGGATTACAGTCCATTATGTCATGAAGAGTGGGACACAGCTGAGCGACTAAGCACAGCACACAGCAACCAGCCACCGCAGCGCTTGACCTGATGCCCATGCCCTGACAGCACCCATGTCACCCAGTACAGGCCTCCATGAGGCTCCAACGCTACCAGCCCCATAAGTCCATGTGAGCACGTGAGGACCCCTGAGATCTCTGCATGCACATGAAGTCACTTCAGTCATGTTCAAACTCTTTGAGACCCCACAGACTGTAGCCTCCCAGGCTGCTCTTGTCCATGGGATTTCCTAGGCAAGAATACTGGAGTGGGTTGCCATTTCCTTCTCCAGGGGATCTTCCCGATGCAGGGGATAGGATTTGCGTCTTTTATCTCCTGCGTAGGCAGGTGTGTTCTTTACCACTAGCACACATGCTTGAGTGCAAGGTGACCAGAAAACATGTCCATTCTCTAGGCTGCCTCCCAAGTATCAGTGACACTGCACAGCCAAAGACAGGTCTGAAGAGTCTTACAGGACCACCACTGTTTATAAGATGCCCAGGGACCAAGCCCCAGCCTGAGGTCATTCCCAGTGGCTGCCACAGAAGCACAGCACTTCAGTGATTCAGCCCCACCAGGTCGTGTGAAACAGTGAACCTGGAAGAGGAAGTGAAAGAGAATGGGGGCGGGTCATGGAGGGGAGCTCCAGGGTTATCAGACCATAGCACAGAGAGGTGATGAAGTCCACCCCCGCCTCGGTATGGGGGCGCGGAGGACCAGGATGATGAGGAGAGGGAGCTGGAGGGCAGAACTGCGAGTGTCTCTCAGTATCCCAATTCAGGCCGCTGTCCTCTGTGGGTACGGAGGTGTTGGGTGATCAAGAAGCCCTGGCAGACCTCAGCAGCTCTTGTGGTCATCACCCAGCTCCACGTAAGGCAGCCCCACGGGCCAAGTGTCCCGAGGCCAGTAGCGGACTTTGATGGTTTGGTCCGGCATCTCGTATGTGGAATCCACCAGAGCCAGGATGACCATGCCATAGGGGAAGGTGAAGCTGATGAGTACATGCCTGGGTGACAAAGTGGAGAGGGGGAAAAGATGCCCCAGCAGTCAGCTTGATGGCCCCAGCCCCACCTCTCCTGACCTCTCCTGGATCCTGGCCATCGAAAGGGATCTCCTGACCACACACCCCCAAGACATACACACACATCCCAGTATTTGTGCCTGTCCCCGCTTCCCCCAGGCTCCTGCTCCAAACTCTGGCATCTGAGATTTTCTGCTTTTAGGACCCAAGTGAAAGTGTTAGTTGCTCAGTCATGTCTGACTCTGCAATGCCATGGATTGTAGCCTGCCAGGCTCCTCTATGAAATTCTCCAGGCAAGAACACTGGAATGGGTTGCCAAGTCCTTCTCTAGGGAATCTTCCTGACCCAGGGATTGAACCCAGGTCTTCCACATTGCAGGTGGATTCTTTACTGTCTGAGCCACCAGAGAAGCCCCGAGAGCCCAAGACCATAGGGTAAATGCTCACCAGATGCCGTGCAGGTAGGGGAAATTAATCCATTGCCAGAAACTGCAAAACAGGCGGTCACTGATCCAGCTAGTAATGGCGAGAGCCCATATAACCGTGGAGACCTCAATCAGATGCCGGAGCTCCTTATTTTTGGTCCTAGGGAGGGAAGAAGGGAGATCAGAGCCTGACTCAGCTAGCAGAGCCCCAGGGGGCTGATGGGAAATTCCTCCATTCCAGGAGAGGAGGCTCGGAGGAGGGAAGGATCAAGGGGGCAGAGTGGGGGAGGGGCCAGACCCATGCTAACACATGGGGACCACTTACAAGATACTGGTTCCTCACAGCAATGCTATTGTTCCCATTTTGTGGATGAGAAAACTGAGGCATGTGAGAGTAAGTATGCCCCAGCCCCCACCCCAAGGTTACTCAGCCGGTATGTGGGGTGTGCATCAGGTTTATCAGAATACAGAAGCCGCAGCCAACAAGCCCTTCTGTGTTTGTGCTCTGGGGTGTAAGTGTATGTGCTCCTGTGGGCTGCTGCATGAGAATTTATGTCTACGTAGCTCTGAGAATACGTGTGGATGTGTGTGGGAGGGTGTCCCATGTCATGGGACAATTCAGGATTACAATATGTGTTTCCCCAACAGCAGAACTAACCCAATGTCTCTTGGGAAAGAGCTTATGAGAGATTAATGAGGCAATAACTCCTTCATGGGTAAAAGTGCAAGCCCTGCCTGCTAGCCTAAAAGGGGACAGTCTGAACACCAAAACAAAACAAAACCACAAACATAAGAATTGGTAAAATCTGAGTACAGATGGTAAAGAATCTGCCTGCCAATGCAGGAGACACAGGTTCAATCCCTGGGTTGGGAAGATTCCCTGGAGAAGGAAATGGCAACCCACTTCATTATTCTTGCCTGGGGGAATTCCATGGACAGAGGAATCTGGTGGGCTACAGCCCATGGGGTCACAGAGAGTCAGACATGACTGAGTGATTTAGCATGTACACATACATGTAATTACACAAGATGCTGCCTCTGGGGGAGGTGGGGAGAATCTGGGTGAAGGGTACACAGGACTCCGTACTATTTTTGCAGCTTCCTCTGAGCCTGTAATTATTTCAAAATAAAAAGTTAAAAATATAGCATAGTGATTGCAATGGATTGAAACACTTCGGAGATAAAAGTCCATGAGTTCATGCTTAAAAAAAAACAACTTTCATTGGTCCTTACCAGAGATGACTAATGCACCAACTTGCTGCTCTGGAAATTAATTTTTAAAGGGGAAATAATTAATGCCCTGTACTGTCTTTCCTGTCCAAACTGTATTTCAAGGTTGATGAGCAAACATTCTTCTGTCTGTCTGGATGGACTCCAGATAATTAATGGAGAAGGAATAACAGAATCTGAAAATCACCCTTTTGCACCCTCTAAGGAGATCACGGGTGGAGACAGCATGAAATGGCTGCTGAAATCATTAGGGGAAAGGTCTGTAGAAAACTTTATAATGAAGGATCTGGATGACACCATCTGAATCCACAGATCAAACACAATGGCACTAAATGTTGGATGACCACTCATTATGAGGTCTTAATGGGCTGGCACAAGCAGCACCCAGTGCCACACATGAAGTGAAAAAAAAGTTAAAGCTAAAACTAGATCTATTAATTTACAGACGAAAAAAAAAAAGGAAACAGGTTGAAAGACACCACAGGAAGCAGTTGGCCAAATCCAAAATTCAGGATGTCCTACAGGACAAATCTTTGAGTTTCTGTTATCAAACCAGAGGCATGAAGAAAGAGGGAGGGAGGAAAGGACTGCTATAAAAGGAGGAAGACCTGAAGGACTGTGTTTATCTTCTGATTTAAACAAGACCAAGTACAAGAAGACGTCTTTGGGAAACTGAGGAAAGGTCAGTGCAAACTGGGTATTATTTATAGATGCTATTCTAAGGAAGCATCTTCCGTTCGTCTCTGTAGATCCTTCTCTACCTTTTTCCACTCAGCCCTGAGTCTCAAGGGGTGGCAGGGTATGGGGTAGGGGAGCTGAGTTAGGTGAACCTGGAAATAAATATTCCAACAGTACCCTCCCTCCACCATTTGACTCCTTGCTGGGGCTCCCCATTGGTCAACTCAACTGGAAACCATTGACCTACCCAGCTGGAAACCATTGGCCAACCCAAATGAAAACCATTGGCCATCCCAGCTGGAAACTGTTGGCCAACCCAACTGGAAATCATTGACTTACCCAACTGGAAGCCCAAGGATAAAGACTTGGCCCTTATCCTAGATTTGGCCCATACAACCTCCCTTTGGGATTGGCTCAGGCTGACTGTAACCAACTGGAGGTCACAGCTCTGGCCAAGAAGACTCTCTCTGCTACCTCTCTCCTTCCAGATTCTTGCAATCACTCCTTTCCATCACTCCCCATCCCAGGTCTCCTGATGATCATGGAGTCCCACTGTTATTAACAGAGGGATTCTAAATGATCTCTAGTGATGTTCCCACAGTCTGCTCTCTCCTTTGTAAACAACCCTTTTATACAACTCTCCTTAAATGGCCCCATTTGGGAGTTCCTTCTCTAGCCTGCCAAGACACAGCATGGGTTAAAAATGGTAATTTTTGGGGACTTCCCTGGTAGTTCAGTGGCTAAGACTCCATGCTCCCAGTGCAGAGGACCCGGGTTCAATCCCTGGTCAGGGAACTGGATCCCACATGCCACAACTAAAGAGTTTGTATGCCGCTAAGTAAAGACCTGGTGCAAATAAATAAATAAATATTTTAAAAAATGGTAATTTTTTATCAGGAGAGTGAAACCCTGAACAATTAATGGGTGACATTATACGAAATCTAGGGGGATAGAGAATACAGGTTGGGGACCTCCCTGGTGGTCCAGTGGTTAGGACTCTGAGCTTCCAATGCAAGGGGTGCAGGTTCCATTCTTGGTTGGGGAACTAAAATCCCACATGCCATGTGGCCAAGAAGAAGAAAAAAGGAACGCAGGTTGGCAACATGATGTTGGGGCTGGTTTATGGAGGTTTATGATACAATGCCCTCCACTTGTATGTGTGTTTGGACGTTTTCAGAGAAGGACAAACTCTGCCTTAGGTTTCAAATCCTGGTCCTGCCCCTAGCAGGCGAACAACCTGGGGAAGGGAACATGGTGAGGTTTTTCTTTGGCAGATGGGTGCAGTTCTTGGAAGAGAAAGGGGCGCCACCTCTCTGGGCACCTGCAGTCACACCCACTTCTTATACTCCTGGACCACGATGTAGACAATGTGCAAGCCAATGGTGTTTAGGGCGTATGCGTTGATCGTGGGCTTCAGGAAGGACAAGCAGGTACTGACCAGGGTGATGGTGACGATCAGTGAGATGTACCAGGACCTGGAGAAAGAGAAGGGCTCAGCTGTGATGGGCAGGGGGAGGGTGGTTGAGGGGTATTCCTGTGGGGTTTGGGTAGTCACATGGAAATCTCATGGTTGAGATGGATGAGAAAAGTGAAGGGGTTCTGAGAAGCCCAATTGAGCTCAGAAAAAGGTCTTAAGACTCCCAGGTGGGCTCAGTATAAAAGGTCAGACAAAGGTCCCAAGGCCCAGGTAAATTCAGGCAAGAGTCTCAGGTGAGCCAGGTGGGATTAAGGAAGGAGCACCAGGGGTCCCAGAAACTATTAGGAGAGAGGTCCTGAAGGCTTGGGGTTCCCCGGTGGCTCAGTGGTAAAGAACCCACCTGCCAATGCAGGAGACCCGGGTTCCACCCCTGGGTCAAGAATATCCCCTGGAGAAGGAAATGGCAACACAACCCAGTATCCTTGCCTGGAGAATCCCATGGACAGAGGAGCCTGGCAGGCTACAGTCCATAAGGTCGCAAAGAGCCGAACACGACTGACTGACTGACGAGCAGCAACAGCCTGGAAGGCTCAAGTGGGTCAAACAGGGTCAGGAGAGAGATTCAGATGAGTCTCAAGTCAACAAAAAGGGGGCCCAAGAAGATCCAATGAAAGATGCCAGAGAGACCAGGTGACAGACTCAGGGAAGAGGTCTCGGGCCCCAGGTAAGCTTAGGCATGGGGTCCTGGGATGTCCTGGAGAAGGAACTGGTAACCCACTCCAGTATTCTTGCCTGGAGAAGCCCATGGACAGAGGAGCCTGGCAGGCTACAGTCCATGGGGTTGCAAAGAGTCAGACACGACTGAGCACACATGTGTCTGGGACCCCAAAGTAGGCGCAGAAAGGCTCTGGAGAGGGTCTCAACTCTCCAGGTGGGATAAGAGGAAGAATAAGCAGGTGGGTAAGGGGACAACAGAGGACAAGATGGTTGGATGGTATCACCAACTCAAAAGACGTGAGTTTGAGCAAACCTGAGGAGATGGTGAAAGTCAGGGAAGCCTGGGGGGCTGCAGTCCATGGGGTCACAAAGAGTCAGAAATGACTGAGTGACTGAACAACAAGGGGATGACTTCCAGGGTCCCAAAGATGCTCAGAAGAGGGGTGCCTGGAAGTCTGGTTAGGTCAGACAGGGTCAGGAAAAAGTCCTGGGGTGTTGAGGGGAGGGACTCCAAAGAGGGCCTGGAGGATAGATGGGCTCCGGTCGGATTGACAGAGGGCCGGCCCCTGCCCTACCTGTTCTGCCCGAGGAAGGTGGGGAAATAGCAGCAAGGCAACCATATGCTGTAGCCGCTGGCCAGCAGCCACAGGATAGCGATCTCATCCAGCATCTGGCCCAGAAAGCTGAGCGTCATGTGAAAGTACATGGAGAACAGTCCTGGAGGGAGAGACAAAGGCAGGTGGTCAAGGGTGTCATCCCGCTTGCTCTCCACCCGCGCCCCCACTGTCCCAATGTCCCCACTTACCTGTGATTGTGAAGAGAATAAAGAGCACATAAATGTAGCGGGAGCGTTTCTGGATATATGGGTGCATCAGAAATGTCATGAGGGGCCCAAAGACGAGGAAGGTGACATTGCTGAACTGGAGAAGGAAGGGGAAAACATGATGAGGGGTTGTCAGACAGGGAAGGCCGAGCATGGTGGCCCTCAGTCATTACCCAACTGGTCAGCAGCCATCTTTCAGGCAGTTAACCAACCCAGGGTCTAGCCATCTTTTAGCTGACCAGTCAACCACTCATTGGTAGATCCATTACTCCATCCATTACACTGTGGGCTCACTAATTCATTCAATGCACATGGTGAAGACTATCTACTAACATTTTCCTTTCAGCAACAGTGTCCTCCAGGTTTGAGCTGGGCATCCAACTACTCAACTAAAGACTATATTCCCCAGCCTTCCTCGAAGCTCACTGTGGCCTTGTGATCTGCTCTAGCCCATGGGATAGAACTGTAAATGAATCTATCAATATAACTTCCAGGTCAGTTCTTGAGAAGCTGCTTGAGCCTTGCTCTCTACTTCCTATGGACTGAAATGCAAACATAGTGGTCATGAACTGGCCTTGGCCTTGTAGACAAGGAAAGACAATGCAATACCCTAGTGACTCACTTCTAAAAAACAGCCCGAGGGGACTTCCCTGGCAGTTCAGTGGTTAAGAATCCACCTTGCAATGCAGGGGGTTTCCCTGGTAAAGAATCTGTCTGCAATACAGGAGACCTGGGTTCGATCCCTGGGTCGGGAAGATCCCCTGGAGAAGGGAATGGCTACCCACTCCAGTATTCTTGCCTGGAGAATCCCATGGACAGAGGAGCCTGTCAGGCTACAGTTCATGGGGTTGGGAAAGAATCAGACAGGACTGAGCAATTAACACCTTCACTTGCAATGTAGGGGACATGGGTTCTATTCCCAGTCAAGGAACTCAAATCCCACATGCAATTAAGCCCCCACATCTACTTAGCCTGCACACCACAAGTAGAGAGTCCATGTGCTTCAACAAAAGATCCTGCATGCCAGAACTAAGACTGTGACTAAGACTCAACTCAGCCAAATAAATAAGCACTAAAAAAGAAAAGAAATACAGGGAGCAGGGACTTCTCTAGTGGTCTAGTGGCTAAGACTCTGCGCTCCCAATGCAGGGGTTCCGAATTCTATCCTTGGTTAGAGAACTAGATTCCTCTTGCCACAACTAAAGATTCTTCATGCTGCAACTAAGACCTGAAGCAGCCAAATTATTAAAAAAAAAAAAAAATACAGAGCACAGTGGTGGGTTTGGAGAAAATCATTCACCTGACACAAGGTCAGCATCTACTAGCCTAGGTCCTGGTCACCTGTACAGGTTCCCAAGACAGGAGCCCTCCTGATTCCAGGAGAACCCAAAGCTCTCCTGGGACAATGATGGAATCAGCTCAAAGGTCACCATTTAAGAGCCCAGCCTTGGCAAACTGGTTTCCCAGCCCATGGCACCACCTGTGTCCTTGTTTTCCATGCCAAAGTCTCTGATGTTTATCAATGGACAAAGTCAAACACATCTCCAGGAGGGTCACCCACTTCACAGCAGCTATCCTAGAACACAGAGATCCCCCCCTTCCCAACTTACCCTGTCTATATCACAAGACCTTACCCCACTGGAATAGATACCCATGCCAAAGCAGGATATCAGACTTTCTCTTTTAGGAATTTGAAACTTGGAGCAGGCACAAAGCCTGGGAGTCACCATGATCGAGTTGCATCATTGACAACTCTCTACAGAGGCCCTGGGATATTGTTGTGATATATAAGATGTGACAACCATTTTGCCACCCATGAGAAGACAAGGCTGAGAACAAAAAAGCAAATGCTTGAGGACAGTATTTGCACATCTGCTGAATCCTGCAGACCTACTGTGGGTCCCAGCCTTCCTAAAACAACTCATCTTTCCTTTTTTTTTTTAATTGCTATATTTTATTTATTTTTTCATTTATTTTCATTAGTTGGAGGCTTATTACTTTACAATATTGTAGTGGTTTTTGCCATACATTGACATGAATCAGCCATGGATTTACATGTATTACCCATCCTGATCCCCCCCTCCCGCCTCCCTCCCCATCCCATCTCTCTGGGTCTTCCCGGTGCACCAGCCCTGAGCACTTGTCTCATGCATCCAACCTGGGCTGGTGATCTGTTTCACACTTGATAATATACATGTTTCAATGCTATTCTCTCAGATCATCCCACCTTTGCCTTCTCCCATAGAGTCCAAAAGTCTGTTCTATACATCTGTGTCTCTTTTTCTGTCTTGCATATAGGGTTATCGTTACCATCTTTCTAAATTCCATATATATGCGTTAGTATACTGTATTGGTGTTTATCTTTCTGGCTTACTTCACTCTGTATAATGGGCTCTGGTTTCATCCATCTCATTAGAACTGATTCAAATGTATTCTTTTTAATGGCTGAGTAATATTCCATTGTGTATATGTACCACAGTTTTCTTATCCATTCGTCTGCTGATGGGCATCTAGGTTGCTTCCATGTCCTGGCTATTATTAACAGTGCTGCGGTGAACATTGGGGAGCACGTGTCTCTTTCAGTTCTATTTTCCCATCTTCCCATTTTTTAACACATCTCACTATCTTTCCAATATTCTCTCTTTCCCCCTTGTTTGTTTCTTTGTTTGGGTTTTTGCTTAAGTTAGTTTTTTTTTAATTGAAGTATAGCTTATTTACAATGTTGTGTTAAATTCAGGTGTACAGCAAAGTGATTCAGTTATACATATTTGTATATTCAGTTATATATATTTGTTCTTTTGCAGATTCTTTTCTATTATAGGTAATTATAAAATTCTGAATGTGATTTCCTGTGCTATACAGTAGGTCCTTATTTATCTATTTCATATACAGTAGTTTGTATCTGTTAATCCCAAGCTCCTGGTGTATCCATCCTCTTTGGGAACCATAAGTTTGTTTTCTTTGTGTTTTGTAAATAAATTCACTTGTATTATTTTCAGATTCCACACGTAAGTGACATCATGATATTTGTCTCTGTCTGACTTACTTTACTTAGTATGATAATCTCTAGGTCCATCCATGTTGCTGCAAATGGCAAAGTTTCATTCTTTTTTAAAAAAAAATTTTATTTATTTATGGCTGTGCTAGGTCTTCAGTGCTGTGCGTAATGGGGGCTAGTTGTAGTGAATAGGGTCTACTCTTCAATACGTGCACAAGCTTCTCGTTGCAGTAGCTTCTCTTGTTCCTGAGCACAGGCTCTGGGTGTGTGTGCAGCTTTAGTTGCAGCACATGGGCTTAGCTGTGCCATGGCATCAGGGATCTTAGCTCCCTGATCAGGGGTCAAACCCACATCCCCTGCACTGGCAGGCAGACTCTTAACCACTGGACCACCAGGGGGGTCCTGTTTCACTTGTTTTTATGGCTGAGTAGTATTCCATTGTATATATGTTCCACATCTTCTTTATGCATTCACCTGTCAAAGGACATTTAGGTTGTCTCCATGTCTTGGCTATTGTAACAACGCTACTATGAACATGGAGGCGCATGCATCTTTTTGAATTAGTGTTTTTATCTTTTCCAGACAAATGCCCAGGAGTGGTAAGGTAGCTCTCTACAGGCTGAGCCCCATGAATCCATCAACAGTGGTATATTAGCTAGGGTTCTTTCATAGCAAGCAACAGAAAATGATTCTGGTGAACTTAAACTATAAATATAAATTGTGTGTGTGTGTGTGCATGTGTGTGTGTGGTTACTTATTTAATTGACCAAATTATTTATTCATGTATTTGTTCATTCATTCATTCATTACAAGGAGCTCAATAATTAAAGGTATTGCAGAGGACAGGAAAACCAGAAACCAGAATAGCTTTGGTATTTTTGGTATTTGGTAGCTTTAATAGACAATCTCTCCAGGGGGCAATTTTGGGTATGAATGAAATCAACTGTGTTCAGTCCTTCTGTGCAAGCCCAAACTTCAAATTCTGGAGAGTGAGGATGTCCCTGGTGGTCCAGTGGTTAAGAATCCACTTTGCAATGCAGGGGAAGCAGGTTCAGTTCCTGATTGGGAAACTAAGATCCCACATGCCACACAGCGACTAAGCCCATGTGCCACAACCATGGAGCCCATGCATCACAACCGCAGAGTCCACGAGCTGCAACGCAAGATCCCACATGCTACCACTAAGACCTGACACAGCCAAATTTAAAAAAAAAAATGTCTGGAGAGTGTAGCCTGGGCCACATCCGATCCTTGGAGGAGATGACTTTGAGTGACCATCCCACCAAGACCATAACCAGGTGGTTGATGATGGGGAAAGGGAGCCATGGATACTGAATGGGCAAAAACCCCTCACAAATCTGATGTCCCCTCCATCTTCAGCCACATGCCAGCCTTTGGGGAAACCAAGCATGCCTGAAGATGCTGAGCCATCCAGCCTCTCAAACTCTTAAGCCTCCACTTAGAACACATCTGTGATTCCCATACCTCAAATCCAGATTCTTTAACTTGGCTTACACACTCCCTCCATAACTACCTTTCCCCACCTTCAACTGTACAAGCCGGGTGGAAAGGATAATTCAGCTCCTCCAAAGGAGTCATACTTTACTTCTTACCTCCTGGAGTTTGCACAGACTCTTCCCACTGCCTGTAAGGCTCTCATTCCCACGCAGCCCTCTGTGCCAGCCCAACTACTCTGTATTTAGCCTGGGGATTGCTTTCTTCCTAAAGCCTTCCTAAGCCCACCAGGCAGGGTCAGGGTGGTCTTCCTTTGTGTCCCATGTAGCCCCATGTTCCTGACCCTGGTCTCACTGTTCTGGAACTATCTGGGTCTCCTGCTACATCTAGTCTTGAAAATAGGGATTGTGGCTTCCCCGTTCTCCATTATAACCTCAGGAGCCAGAATACAGTACAAAAAAGTCTTAATGAATGACCCAGACAACCATGATGGCATGGAGTCAAACATCCTACAGTGTGAAGCAAGCGGGCCTTAGGAAGCATTACTATGAACGAAGCTAGTGGAGGTGACGGAACTCCAGGTGAGCTATTTTAAATCCTAAAATATGCTGGTATTAAAGTGCTGCACTCAGTATGTCAGCAAA